CGTAATGAAGATTGTGTAAACATATTCTGCAGAGTCCCTACAATAGCTTAGATATGCATTTTGTTAAGAAATTATGCTGCAAAAAGGGTTTGTGACTATTTTCAAATATGACTACGGTGGCGTTGCGGAAACGCAACGAAGGGCACATCGGAAAGACAGCGATGTTGCGAAAACGCAACGAGGGGCACATTGGTAGGGTAGCGGAACTATGAATATCAACAATAGACTTCACTCGTGATACGCTGTGGGTTCTTCCTTTCTCTCCCCCATCTTCCTCCCTCTCTTCCTCGTTCCCCCAACTCTCTTCCCCCTCTCCCCCTCTCTCTCTCTCTCTCTCTCTCTCTCTCTCTCTTTCTCTCTCTCGTTTTGTAGTCATGAGGGACGTATGTTAAGTGCAAGGTGCGTTTGCACTTAAAATGTTGCGACATATTTCACATTTACAGCCTCAAACAGCTACAAACACTCCTTTCTTTTTCTCTTACAGATTATCGGGATGTTCGTTCACTAAGCAATGTGTTCCCTCCCATGCATCTGAAAATCGCATGGTTGGAAGAGGACCTGTATCAAACGGTCGGCGATGCTGACGGACCTGAGAGATAATTAGGTCCTTTGGAAATTGGATCGACTATGTACATACATTGTGCATATATAATAAATAACGGGGATGTAGTCTGGTATCAGACGACAGATAGACATTGCCATTCTCTGGATACAATCTGCTGACTACCAACCTTTACGTTAGAAAAGATAACTCAGGGTCGGCAAATAGTGGGATAGGCCCCCTCTATGGGTAGCAGAGAGAGCCCTTCGGCAGGGGTAATGAGGGCATCTGGGAAAATAGTCATTTTTAGGATTCATAACTTGCATAGGTTAATAAGCTGCTTGATGTGGAGTATACGCTTGTTTTCTTACTTGGGATAGGCCTTTTATCGAATAAGACCATTTTAGAGCTAGCAGTATTATTGGAATTAGGGGAGACATTTGTCTGAGCGGGCACAGTTAATCGTCAAGACTGAGCCCAGCCAGTGGGCAGGCCACCCATGACCCAGCCCCCTCCCCCTCCCAAGCACTCACTGCACCCGGCTACAGGCGTGCTCCTTTGTGAGCTGCCCGAATGCTATACAATTATACATATATAGTTGCCCGTCTAGCCCGGAAAAGAGGGTTGAGGCGTGGAGATGAAGGATTTAACTATCCAAAAGATGGAAAGGACGTATTCAGGGAACAGTTGGAAAGTGTGCCACGGCGTCGAATCACCATTCTGCCCTGGCATTGCCTCGAGAAAGAGGTTACACGTGAAGGTCACTGAGAGTGGGGCCATGAAAATTTTGGATCAGATGTAAACATAAACTGGGAGGCGATTTGTTATGATGCGCTACGCCTTGCGCGGGTAATTTGTGAAAGCCCGATCTGTTCATTTTTTCTCTTTGTTTTTGCTGTGAGTGGGTACGACTAACCTGCAATGGAATTTAACTTTACTCCTAGGAGGGTGGTTAACGATCATTGCGGATACGCGTATACGTGAGGCACTGGTTAATTCCCAACCTCCGTTCAATTGTTTTCAGTGTGGGGTCTGATAGGTGGGGATAATGGCTCTGTCTAGCATCCAAAAAGAAAGCGTCACCCTGCGTACGTGTCGACCACAACTTTAAATGGACAACTGTTGTTGAAAATGACCGTTTGTTGTCATCTCCCCGTTCGCGAATCCTGAAGTTATGCTCCCCCACTGAGGCTTTTAGTCGGGTTATAGAGCATGAGGGATGTTGGTTCCGCATTTTCAAGCAATAGTTGTCAACAGTTGATTTATGTTTTGTCAAAACAAATTAGCATATACGGCAGTTCAGTGTACTTTATGGCCGCCTGATGTGCCCGTCGTTGCGTTTTCGCAACGCTGATGGCGCCCGGTGTGCCCTTCGTTGCGATTTCGCAACGCACGTTTTTTACGTTTTTCTCGAAAAACTTTTGCTGCAGGCAAAAATTATTTTCGATTCCATGCAAGGCCCTGGTAGGAGCATAACATATTTTGATTTCATCGATTTTCATGATGGTCAATATTCCTGGGCATAAATGGGTTAAGAGTCATTAGTTGTCGTTACGTTCAATAATAACAACGATAAAGTGCCAAATGTACCCGACATACGGCTTGGAGCCGGGCGCCGCGCGGTCTCCACCAGTGACGTCACGCTAATGCTTAGCGACCGGTCCATTGGAAATTGCGGGATGATTCTACCTCTCTTATACGGCCTTGGGGCCAACACCAGACTCCAGATGGCCCTAAAATAGCCTGGAAGGGCTCTCCCTAACTCAGGGGAACTATATCACAGTGACATCACTGCAGTCGTCCTCCCGCAGCCGGCTGCTGAAGGCAGCGAAACCCCCGCAAGGTAAAGTGGAAAGCGGTTTTGAGTCTGAAACGGCAGCACATTGCATTGTTGACGTTGTTTCCGGTCGACCTTCGAGACCTCGCAAGTTTTCCTCTTTTTATCATATGTACAATGTACATTCAGGGTTACTTTTACAGGAAAAATCGAGAGGGGGAATAAAGTTCGGGGCAAGGGCGGATCCAGGGGCATCTGAAAGAGGGGCCCAATGCCATTAGATTTTTGTTAGGATGGCGCCTGCAGAACCTTACCTACCCCCAAATCCTACTCTCTCCCCGGATTCTGGCCACTTTATATTGTTAGGTTGCCAAAAAATAAATTAGCTAAAAAATATACGTAGGTACCTACCTTGGCGGTAAGGGGCGGGGGAGGTCCCAACTTGACTGCGCCCTTGCAAATGTCAATCAGTACCTAGTATCAACCTATTACTCTGGCCAAACATGAAGTAGCGCCTTTCTAAATAGAGAGAGTTTAACACGTGACTATTTTTGCTAGGCCAAGACCGATTGAAGGACCCTGGTTCGAAGGAAGACCCTTGGTTCGGAGAGGTCATGACCCCCGTCCCCCGCCGGTTTCTACGCCGACGCCTGTAGCGATATGTCAGTGATTGCAAAGAGACGGAAGAGACAAGACAAGAGACGGTCCCACCGACCATCCGATCGGTATCGGGTCAAATCTGGAGTTCCCGCTGCACTGAACGTAAAATGGTTGGATGGAACCTCAAATTGAAAATTATCTAAGCGCCAGCAGCGTTGATTGATGACTTGAGACTGATCAACGATGATTATAGAATCTGAGTAGCGAATTGATTGAAAATGGGCACAAAAATAAATTTGAAAGGGGAAAATTCCCCCTTCCCTCCCTAGCCGTTCACGCACAATTTGAAAGGGGAGCGGAATTTTCGAAGGGGGGAAATTCCCCTTTTTCCCCCTTTAAAAGTTACCCTGTGTACATTACACAATTTATGTGAGAGATAGCCTGGGAAGTTTGGCGATTGTACTTTGCCGCTCATTTGTACAGAGAAGCATTAGAATTGTTTAAAAAAAAAAAACACCAACTTTTAGCTGGACCAGCTTCCCTTGTATTTTCCCATTACTGGGATGTCCAGTATGCCACATGCCAAATTTTAGCCTCCTGGGTGCACGTTAAACCCTGCCTCAAAGGGCGCCAAAATTAGAAAATCCTATAGGATTGGCCAAAGTCAACTTCATCGTACAAACTTCGGTATGGTCTCATTCGATAGCCCATGTTGAGCAGAACAAATTTTTCAAAAGACACAACTCTATTAAACTGACTAGTTTTGGTTTAATTGAACGAGATAGTAATTTTTTGCGCATTCTGACCAGATAATCACCGTTTTTTGGCAATATCTTCTCGCTGGGTTGATCACTCAGAGCGAGCTTTGGCCACACGAGGTTTAAGTACATGCCCTTATTTTTCGTAGGATGGTTTTATGGGAAAATGTCAAAATTTAGGGGGCTGTCATTGACCCTTAATATTACGCTAAGCTCCAACTGTACTGGTCGTGTTCAGCCGTACCGCTGACCATGACCGGTTCATTTGAGAGGATTGTCTTGATCAAAAGTTTGTTCTACTTGTCAAGGACTATCGATCGAGACCATGCTGAAGTATCTGCGATGAAATTCATTTTTGGCCAAAATCATAGGAATTCCAAATTTTGGCGCCCTTTGAGGCAGGATTTAGCGTGTACCCAGGAGGCTGCGATTTGGCATGCAGCTTATTGGGCAGCCCAGTAATGGGAAAATACCAGGGGAGCTGGTCCAGCTAAAAGTCTGTGTTTTTTAAACATCTAGAAGAGCATTGACAAAAACAGCCCTCGGCTCGTAGTGGGTTCAGAATTTTTGCGGAAGTTAGCAATTTTGTGCATATTTTACCTCTTTGTCGCATACGTTTTCTTATCTGCACGTATTTCTTTTGACAGAGCTTCCATTGCAACCGGACCTGGAGAGTCGCAAGACGTTGAGTCTGATGAGTCCTCCCAAGAGATATATGACGACGACGATGACGACGAGGACTGGCATCCACCCCCCGACGAAGCCGCCACGAACAACGAAGACGGGGAGAACTGGCACTCCGAGAGAGACAGGCATGTAATTTTGAACGCGTCTGCTACTAGTTACTACACGTTTGTATCCCTCGCTTCAGGGCTGGAGAACTTTGCCCATCCAGGTGCACAGAAACATCGCGGTGCACAGAAAACGTTCTGTTTTGTACCGTTTTGTCTGCGAGGCTCTGTCTGCCATCGCAAATAAATGTTTGTAATAAATGTTTAGCAAATAAATGTTTTCATGAATGCGGCGTCTTAATAAATGGCACGTTGCTATGATATTTTCAGTCACAAGTACGACCTAGAATTGGTTTGATGTCAGTATAGCCTTTAACAATGCTCAAGATACGACGTGAAGAATATACACCTTTTTCAATTGGAGGTAGCCAATGGGCAAAACTGTTTTATCTCCTTTTTGGAACTGGCTCAGCCCGAGGAAGAATAGTGAGCTGGCTCAGCTCACGGTCAACCCGCTCATGTTCAGCTCAGCTCAACCCAGCTCAGTTCATCTCTGACTCAGCTCACGCTGAACCGGATCATGTCCACCTCAGTTAACGCTCAGCTGAACCTCGCTCAATTCCGCTCTGGCTCAGCTCACGCCAGGGCTGTGGAGTCGACACATTTTGAGCCCGACTCCGACTCCGACTCCGACCTCAGCGTCAAAGTCGACTCCGACTCCGAATCCGACTCCGGGCAAAACTGTCGACTCCGAACGACTCCGACTCCGGTTGTACTCCGACTCCGCAGTCTGTGCTATGGAGATATATTTTGAGCGACTCCGACTCCGACCTTAACCTCAAAATCGACTCCGACTCCGACTCCGGGCAAAACTGTCGACTCCGGCCGACTCCGACTCAGGGTTGTATACCAATCAAGTCGATTGAATTGATTGATTTGTTTCAACGCGTATTTTGAGTTGATTGGATTGAGTCGATTGACTTTTCGAGATGACTGGTTGACTGACTCGTTTGACTTTAGCGACTGGTTGACTGATTTGATTCCCGAAAATTAGAGTGACTCGTATGATTGAGTCGATTGAATGGAAAGTTCAAATAAGTTTTAGTTGACGAAAAATAATGACACCAATTGATGACACCAAAGATCACAAAACTACACTGAAAACTGCTTGTCATCACAACTGCAATATGGGGTAGATGGCCAAATAAAGAACAGGGCCTAAACAACATGAACAGCCAACGTTGACTTTCAACTGCAATAACTGCTCCAATCCTGGTGATAGAACCTGGCGATGCACCTACCTTCCTTTCTGCACTCAGCAGGAAACCTTTTTTTTAAATCCAGATGATAAAGTGCAAGGCCCTATATACTAATAAAGTGTGATTAATTAATAATTCGCACCTCCACATCTCCTCAGAAACAACCCACTGAACTCTATAAATATCTGAAACCCCTACAAAAATAACTGAAACAAAAGCGCCGTTTTCGTCTCGCTGATTACGTTTACGTACAATTAATAGATAATTTGCTGCATTGTTTAATTTGCAGCAGAACGTTTGTTGATCCTTTTCTCCTGAGAGCCTAAGCATATCATATTTAATATACTTCATTTTCCTTGGAATATTTTACTGAATATTATTGTGTTTTTATTTCAAATAAAATAATAATTAAAACGAAATTGGTGCTGTACAACCGACTTATTTTATTAATGATGGTCTACCATACTACATGATAATCAATGACGTCATCTTACCAAAAAGTCAAAAGAAGTAGAATAAGGATTTATAAAAGCTTAGCATACTTATTGGCAAAACCAAACGTTTTCGTTGTTTCGCACTTCGCAGTCGCGCCGTGCCGTTTTCCCAGTCCCTGTCCTCTCCATTTCCATTTAAATCGTCATCCCTATCCCCCAGTCCTAATAGTTTCAAATTGTATTGCAATAAAATGTTTTGAATTCTTCACATAGGTATTTAACATTGACATGCCACGTCCAGAATCGTGGACCGCTAAATACTTCAAATCTCTTCCTTCCCAATCTGACAACATTCCATGTCTCAAATACACATTGTGTGGAATGATTTTTCAGGCTGCCCGTCAGTCTCTGTTTAACGGAAACCGTCACATGCATGATGCAGGTAAGATATTTATTTCTATTTCCCTATGGTTAATATGTTATTGATGCATATTATCCATTAAAATAGACATGGTGTAGGGTAAATGGCCAAATCACGAACACTGCCAAAATCCGAGCAGCCAACTTTCAACTGCAATATCTGATATTTAGTGTAAATGGAGTTGGAATAAGGCCAAAATTAAATTGACAACTTTTAGGTGAAAGGTGGTGATTTGGGTTAAGGGGCGAGTCAACTACTGGGTCATTTTGCACCAATTAACCCTATTCCTGGCGGGCTCCGCCGGGACAAGAAACTGGCGGGGGGGGGCCGATTCGGCCCCCCTTCAGATCTCAAAAACTACACATCGCAGCGACAAACGGTAAACGGCATCGGATACGCACGGTCAAGATCTACAATTTTTACTAAGGTCATTTTCAGGTCAGGTCAAAGATGACGTCACAGGGGTCGAAAAAGTCAAAATGGCGGCGCTAGATATGGAGAGTTTTTCTCGAATAACTTTCGAATTAGTCAAGATTGGAACAAACTAAGGGCATCATCGTGATCCTCTCGTCAATCCGCATCGAATGATATATATATATGTTGACCTCGAAAGGTCAAGGTCAAAGGTTGACCTCAGGTCACGTGACCTCGAGGTCATCATGTATATCATTCGATGCGTCTTGACGAGCTGAACACAATGAGACCATCCGCGCGGCTGTATCTTGTTCCTGTACGGAGTTATTGGCAAAAAACCGCTGGTGACCTTTGATGACGTCCCATGACCTTACAGCTGCCCAACAGCAAAACAGACCTCAAGGTAGTGAAGGTTGATCGTATATGAAGTCATGTATGGTATATGGGGCCATTCCGACCCGTTTTAGTGGTAAAAACAGGGAGTTGATTTTTCCCCCATTGACTTATAATGGGGAGGTCGCGAAACTGACCTGACCTTAGGTCACCGATATCAAAATTCCGAGATATACAAATTGCACATACTGGTACCCTTACTAAAGCCTGAAGAAAAGAAATTGATCGGTCAAAAACTCTAGCTCTGGCGTGATTGCAAACTTTTCTGAGGTAGGGTCACCAAACCGCCTCTGGTGACCTGACCTGAGGTCAGATCAACTCAAAATTTTCAGACATGTTGCGTAGAAGCCTTTTAGGAAAAGTCAGAAAATTTGAGCTTCCTAGCTCAACGCGTTTGGGAGAAATAACCAAAAAACCTCAGGGGGGGCTCCTGAGGCCCCCCCCCGCCAGGAATAGGGTTAAATGAAACTTCTGCTCCAATTCTACCCATTGAACCTCAATATCATGGCGCCTGGCGGTGTTTCACGGGACGCTGCTACCACGCTGCTATCAAATTGCGCGAGCTGACGTCACACTTGTGGTAGTGTTGGAGCAATGGGCCTGTTGATGTTTCCATGGAAACCCAATTTGACACGTGTAAAAGCAACGTGCTGCTATCACCGGTGAAACAGGGCCCATGCAGGGTATATTGAGTGAAGGGTAGGACAAACTTTGGTAGGAATTTCTAGTATAATTACTAGAAAACCTACTATGTGTGGTCGGGACTAGCAAAACTTAGTTCAAACTAGAAAATGGTAGCGCTTATGGTCGGCAGTCGTGACGCGCACGTAACATTCATTTCTTAAATTTCTTAAATAACGGGTTTTAGGTGCCAATTAGTGGGCAGATACATTCAATTAGCAATTAATAATTGATTATGCAAACATTATTGAATCTACATCATTCAATTCCAGCCAAAATCACGCGGCGCTCCCAGGATTCGAACTCACGACCCTCGGATCCGTAGCCCGATACGCTACCGACTGCGCTACCGAGGACCGAGCGCCGACGATCGGAGAGGCGGATCACGGGTGCTGGCGTGCAGAGAAATCTTTACCCTGTACGCCGTAGAAGATCGGCTGGGTTTCGTGAAAAATGGTAGAGGAATTGTCGAAAGAAAATTCATCGATCTATCATTTGAGACTAAGAACCATTGATTCCTTCAAAGGTTGACCAAGATATCGCTCGCCGAAAACAGGCCATTTAACATGTAAACCCTATGGGCTGGTAGGAAATGTACGCCGTGGAGCAGCAGTGCTACCAACTAACTTCGGCGGGGGTCGGGGCCCATGATCCACCTGTCCATGTTAATAGGTATCCTTCCTTATTACATAGAAACACTTTGAATGGCATGGCAATTTATAATTTTAAATGACAATATTTTTATGTTTCTTCTGTAGGTAGGTAGGTAGGTAGGTAGGTACACCAGACTGCTATGGACACTTTTCCAAGTTGGTGGGGCAAAAAACCTAATGTATGTCTTGGTTTGAGTCGTTTGATTGAGTTGATTGATTCCTTTCATTGTCGCGTTTGAGTCGACTGAATCAATTCCCGAAAACTGCTCTGACTTGATTGATTTGATTGGTTTCCCAAATTTGTCGTGATTGAATTGATTGCTATTGATTGAGTCGTATACAACCCTGCTCCGACTCCGGCTTCGACTCCGAATCCATAGCCCTGGCTCACGCTCAACTACTTAAGTCTCGCGCAGTGGACCAGTTTGTCGGGCCGTTCACCGCTCCCGACTCTGTTTGCCGCGTTTAAGTGCGTTACATTGCCGATTTGACCTTGGCCTTTGACCTGGAGCCAGCTCAGCTCAGTTCACGGCTGAGCCAACTCAGCTCATGGCTCAAAACTGTGCCAGTTACTTGAGCCAGCGACACCATGTAAGCTCAGCTGAGCCAGCTCAGCCCATGGCTCAGAATTAAATGAAGAGCCTGAGCTAACCCACCTCATGCATAGGCGTAGGAACAGGGGGGCGGGGGGCATGGCCCCTCCACTTTTCGGCCAATTTTTGTTCCTAAAATCTACATTTATTCTCTAAAGACAAAATTAAATACAGCAATCGATTCGTCAGGCCGAGAGCAGTCCAAAAATGCATAGAAAGTTGGCGTGAGGGGGTTGGCTTCCACACAAAGTGAGATCAAAGCTTCACTGCCCCCCCCCCACACACACTTTTCGTGACGTTCCTACGCCTATGACCTCATGGCTCAACGGCAAGCGTGAAATCCTGAGCCGGCTCGTGAGCCAGCTCACAGCTCTTGAGCCGGCTTATGAGCCAAGTCACAAGTCTGGCTCGCCTGGCGCCTGTGTCTGTGGTATAGTGTGAGACGGCCAAACGGCTATGTCCACGAAAAAATAGCACGAATATAGGTATGTCCACACGGCCTCATTTGCTCCCAATCAGCATGTCCATCAAAGCGATTTTAGATTCAGCATTGCATATGTATGTCCCCCCTTGCAGATGACATTATTTGGTTCCGAATCGTGTTCAATGTCCATCGATACGGTTGCGGAGTCCGCAAACAAAGTCCCTCCATGCGAATTTTGTTGACTGTTTAATGTCCTCCCAAACATCAATAAACTATGTCCATATATGCGCCTCTTTTTTCCTGCAAAATGTCCATCGAAAGCATTTAAGATACCTCGAACTGTCCACCAAATCTATGGCAAAACGTGTCCCCATATGATGAACTTTGTTACCTCCGAATGTCCACCCATAGCGATTCTGATACCCATTTTTGAACCATGATTACTGTATTTAAACTCGCACAGAAATAAAACCGACTTCGCAAAAACAACGCTCGGCGGCCGCCCCGCGCCGCTCCCTCCCGCGCTCCCTCTCGCCGACGACTCGCCGCTGATCCATTTTCCACAACAAATCCCAGCCGCACGCGACAACTCACACGCGCGCCGTGCACCGGACGCGCCTCCGCACAGCGGCAACTACACCTCCCCCTGATCCTGAGGATCATTTACATCCCTCACAGAAACATCCTTGCAGAGGACGGCGGGTGCGCTGACTTCGCCGAGGAGCCACGGCAGGAGGCTCCGGCGCTGGAGCGTCGCATAACTCCGGCCCCTGCTCAACTGGAGCCGGCTGGAGGACTGGGAGAGACGGGGGATCCATCACGTAGACGGGGTCGTCCGCGTCAATTTCAGCACATGGGGGCGGCTCACTATTTCTGCGCCGCAAATCCCTGACGTGTCGTGGCATACCGTCCACATCGACAACCTGCGGAGAGACCACCGCCGTGACGGTACCCCGGCGGGACGGCTCCGTGCAGCGCGTCCCACGGCGGCGCACCCACACCGCGTCTCCGACTGTGTATGGGCCCGTCTCCACCGCAGGGAGCTCCCGCGCCCCGGCCCCACCGTCCGCGGCCGTCCCTGGCGGAGCAGCCGGCAACCGCACACAGTCACTCGGCTCGTACCTGTACACGCCACAAAACGGAGCGCTGGCCACCGCCTCGCCGTCACGCGGCGTCACGTTATACAAGTGTACCGCCTCGGCGATATCGCACCGTTTCCGGGCGGCGATCACTTTCACTGTCCGGTGGCAGCGCTCGATGACACCGTTCCCGCTCGGTGCATGGGCCGCCCGGAACCTCACAGCCACTCCCCAGCGCGCGGCGAGCACGGCAAACGGTCGGCCGCGGAACACAGGATCGTTATCACACAACAGCTCCGCCGGAGCTCCTCGATCAAAAAATATCTCCTCCAGCCGCTGAATAACGCACACACTGTCCTGCCGTCGCAGCGGCCGCCATACAGTGAACCGCGACGGCCCGCAGTCGATTACACTGAGGTACGGATGGCCCCCATAATGAGTTATATCAATGGCCAGTCTGTGCCACGTCTGTGGTACACCCAACGACCCGTGTCGCCACTTTACTGGAGCCGGGTCGATCGCTCGACAGACATCACAATTTGTCACCACGGCGCGTACCTGGTCTCTCGAGACGCGGCCGATACATCGGCGAGCAAAATACAATGTCCGTCGGACGCCCGGATGACCAGCTCGCTCGTGCACTTCAGCCACGCTCTCTGCACCATCGAGGCTCGCGTTTACAGCGTTCGGCTCGTCCGCTGTGGCCGCGCTTACTGCCGACGGTTCACCCACCGCGGCTGCGCTCACTGCCGGCTCGACCGCGGCAGCTACTCCCACTGCCGACAGCCCGCCCGCTGCGGCCGCGCTCACTGCCGACGGCTCGCCCGATGCAGCCGCGCTCACAGCCGCCGCGCTCACTGCCGACGGCTCGTCCGATGCAGCCGCGCTCACAGCGGCCGCACTCACTGCCGACGGCTCGCCCGCTGCAGCCGCACTCACAGCGGCCGCGCTCACTGCTGACGGCTCGCCCGCTGCAGCCGCGCTCACAGCGGCCGCGCTCACTGCCGACGGCTCGCCCGCTGCAGCCGCGCTCACAGCGGCTGCGCTCACTGCCGACGGCTCGCCAGCCGCGCTCACGGCGGCCGCGCTCACTGTCGACGTCAGATCGTCTCGGAGCCACTCCCTGGGCACTCGAGTCAGTGCATCAGCGCGATTATCCGCCGATCGAACGAGCGCCACTGTCAGACGGAGCTCCAGCTCGATGACCAGCTGACGAATAATCGCCACACGCCGTCGGATGAGCAGCTCGCCGCTGGCTTTAGTACGGAGGCGCGCGCGGCCACTGATCGCGTCGTCGATCCACCGCTTCACCGTCACCGAGTCGGTTCGGAGATCGATTCTCCGTGCGCCCCACGCAACTGCCAAGTTAATGCCTCGAATAGCGGCATCGAGTTCGGCCATATTTATGTGTACAGCGTCGTCTCGCCTGAGCCAGCATGCGTCCTCGATCACCTCACCGTCTGTGTTTTCCAGGACCACTCCGGTGGCCAGCGAGCTGGCGTCTGTCCAGGCGACCACCTCGTCCCCGTCGACACACCACACGCCACGGGCCGGGTCGTCACTGGCGAGGCGACTCGCGATACAGTCCATCTGCACGCGCAGCGCGGCGTCATCAGTGATGTCGTCCCATCCGCGCGTCAGCTCATTTACACGCCGCTTAAGCCATGCGACCGCGGGTCGAAGCCACCCACACACTGGTACGTGGGCCACTAGCTGTCCGCACCACGCGAACACAGATCGGCGAGTCACACGTTCTGGCGGCGCGCTCACGGCATTGCCCCGCTTCCACCGCAGCTGCCCGTTCTCCTCGTGCACCCGCAGGCCCAGGAGCCGCGCTCCACTGGCCGCCCGCTCCGGCGGCTTACAGTCCAGTCCAAACTGCGCGAAATGCGCCACCACGCGCTCGGCACTGACTATGTCCTCATTTACAAGGAGGTCGTCCACATATGGGAGGACGGCACGCCCGATGTCGGGGTCCTGATCGAGCACAGCACGCACGACAGCCTTCATCACGAGGGGCGCGATATTCAAACCAAAACCTAGGCGGGTCAAACAGAATCGCTGCCCCCGCACCATCACCGTCTGAAACGGCCAGAGTCGCTCCTCCAGGTGCAGCTGGAGGTAGGCACGCTTCAGGTCCACGACCGCCACATTTGCGCCGTGCCGGCGCCACTTGCGGAGCTGTTCCGCGCACACGTCGCTGTCAGCTGTGTGAGCCTGCACAAAGTCATTCAGTTCTCGGTAGTCCAACACCGGTCGAACTTTCCCCCGATTGCGCTGCTCCACAGCCATTAGCGGCACCAACCCCTTCGGCGGCCCCTGCCGCCGCTCGTCATACGGCACGAGCCACTCCCGCTCTATCCAGTCGTCAAGTTCTGTCTCGAACTCGTGACGAGCGGCGGGCGGCACAGCATACTGCGGCACAGCGTTCGTGAGGCACTGGGGTCCGATCCCATCGGACCATTTCCATGCAACCGACCACTTCCGGGCAGCCGCGTTGAACTGCACCCGGAAGTCCGGCGTCTCAATGTCTGGCGGCGCACGACACACTGCTCCACAGAACCGCACCACAGAGGGGGACAGCACCGTCACGCCCCCGAGAGCCGAGATACCGCTGACCCCGAGCACCATGTCCACGCCGAGCGGCCGCTCCTCCACCACCAGCGTTTCAAGCGCGGCACGATGGCCCGTCGGCGCCTCGACCGTTACACTGCCAATGCCGCTGCATTTCAGGTCGTCGCCGCTGATCGTGGTGACGCGCACCACCCGTCGCCTCCACTGCGCACAGAATGGCGCGTAGATGATGGTGTCGGTGCTCCCGGTGTCGATGAGGACCGAGCACTCTCGTCCGTCCACGTGCAGGCGTGTAATCGGCAGCGCACCGCTCACTGTCGCGCAGGAGAGAACGGCGGTGCTGACCCGTCCCCTCCGGCTCCGTTTTCCGACTGACGCGGACATCTCGCAGCAATATGGCCGGGCTCTCCACAGGTCCAGCATCTCAGCGGACGCGGACCGCGCGGAGGCCGTCCACGCGTCGGCCCCGGCGGCTGGCCGGGTCCAGGCGCCGCAGATGGGTGGCTAGCCGGCGGCGGCACAGTCCGACGCGCCGCTGCTGCTGCTGCGGAGAGCCGCTCGTCGGTCAGCACAGCGCGAGCGCGCGCCAGCACCGATGACAGGTCCAGTCCATCTGCCCGGCAGCCAGCGCGGATCATCTGCCGGACGCTGTCCGGCAGGCCTGCCACGAATGCGCAGGCCAGCGCTCGCTCCGGCACTCCTCCGAACAGCGCCGCCAGCCGGCGGAGGTCAGCGAGGAATACGTCCGCCGACTCTCCTGGCATCAGTCGCCGAGCGGCGAACGCTTCATAGGCGGCGTACTCATCGAGAGCAAACGCCGCCTGGAGGGCGTCTCTCACGGCCGTCAGCGAGCAGCGACTGGCCGCCGGCAGCTGGGACCATACGTGGAAAGCACCGCCAGCGAGGCGCAGAGGAATCACAGTCTCGGCGGCCACTCCCCTCAGCTGGCACAGCATCTCAGCACGCGCCAGCCAGCTGACCACATCTTCGGTCCCGTCAAACTCCGGTATCAGCCGCGCATCAAAAGGTGCCGACGGTACCGCGACCACAGGCTGTGAGACGGTTGCCGAGTCTGTCACACCACCATCACCAACCGGCACCGGCGCTGTCACCGGTCGCGGGACGATTGTCGGCGCCACCGCACTTGCCATCACCGGAACCTGGTCCAATGACACTGTCACGTTCGTCGTCATAATGCCGAAATAGCTTGTATTTAAACTCGCACAGAAATAAAACCGACTTCGCAAAAACAACGCTCGGCGGCCGCCCCGCGCCGCTCCCTCCCGCGCTCCCTCTCGCCGACGACTCGCCGCTGATCCATTTTCCACAACAAATCCCAGCCGCACGCGACAACTCACACGCGCGCCGTGCACCGGACGCGCCTCCGCACAGCGGCAACTACAATTACTCCGTAAGTACGTTATCATTGACAGCGGTTAAGTGATATGGTGTAGACTGGACCTAGGCCTAACCAATAGACTGTGTCACCAGACCCCTTTTTCTCGCAAATTCTGGCGAACGTAATATATTTGTGGCCCAAGGGCCTTACATGAATAATGATGTCCAAAGAAGCGGTCAAAATCAAGTATTTGGGGGGCTAAAACATTTTTTTCTGTAGCTCTGAAAAATCTTGAGATTTTACCTAGCGACATCTACAATTATCGTTTTACTACACTAGCGCCCCCTACAAATCACTTTGACACAGGTGATATTCTGGATTTTTAAAATAGGAATATGCCACGATATTGGTTGATTAACGGCACAAATGGACATTGTTTGATAGCCTGTTAAATTATCCACAGGCAGATGCTGGTCCTGTCCCAATCGGTTTTCTGGTAATCGATATATTGGGTCGAAACTGCGATTATGACACCGTCTTTATCGACGCATGGTTTAGTGTGCTTCGAATCATGAATGACATTTGTACCCAATAGTACCATACCACACCACAGGGCCTGTGCAACATCTGCCTAACGCTCCTTATATCCGTACCCTACTCTTACCCCACTTATACCACTAATCCTCCCCGTCAGCTTCGGCATTTCCTACATGCCGGGGTATGTCTTAAGCACAGCACGAGCCGGGCAGTAAAACTATGACCAAGAAACTGTCGGTGTCAGAATGCCATGTTATTTGATAGGCCGGGCAGGAAACAAAAGTTTACTGCCCGAGTTTACTGCCCAGGGCAATGACCTTTAACCCGCGCCCCACTGGGGGGGCTATTTATAGCCCCCCCCCTCCCGTTTTTCTGCAATAACTTCCAAACCGCTTGACGAATCGACGCCAAACTTTCAGTACCTTCGGCTGCATCAATTTGACACCTTGTGTCAAAATTTGAACTTCGTAGCTACCATAGGTCGGCCGGAAATGACGTCAGAGTGACGTCATGTTCGTCCGATTTCGACGCAAAACATTGAACCACGGCAATCGCTCCCAAGAGCTCAGTTTTTAAGCTAGATCCAATTTCTTTGCATGAAAGGACTCAGAATTGACCGCGCTATCAAACTGCCATCTCGGATTTTCAAAATTTTGAAAATTTTGAAAATTTTATATAATAATATTCAAAATTTATATTTTTATATTTTTTTTCAAAAAGTTGTTGACTTTTCGAAAAAAAACCGGAATATATGTGACAGAACGCATGATTATGACTAACTCTAGCAAGTTTTAGCTAAATATCTTCAAAAATGGCCAAGTTATACGCATTATTGCAAAAAATTCACAAATATTAATTTTTCAAATCAATTTTTCAGTACGTATTTGGCATCGTACACCAATATAAATGGCACCATCGTGTTCCTGAGCTCAAACTGCATCCAATAGACACCTTTTTTGTTGAAAAATTTCAACTTCAAAATTTGACCTTTTTTTACCTGAAAGTGACCTGACCTAAGCTAATTTCGACTCAAAATGGCCTTGAATGGCACAGACGACATCAAATTCGAAATCTATGGCCTAAATGGACCATAAAACATGTGTCACGTGACCGACGCATGATATAATATTTTCGTGACCTGTGATGACCTGACCCTGACCTTAAAATCAAAGTACAAGTTTGGTACCCTCAAGGTATCTAGAGCATCTGTTCACGAGTGTGGAAACCAAAAATGAGCATGATCTGACTTGTAAGACGGCGGTCAGAGCCCAAAATGTGAACAAGCCAAAGTGCTAATAATTTTTACTTTGACCTGACCTGTGACGTCATCGGTGACCTCGAGGTCAATGAAATTAGGTTTCGCTCGACAGTTTTTCCGGGGCTATCAGACGCCGTTTGAATTTTGACGATCGGCCCAGTAGTTTCGGAGTTAGGAGGGGGGGGGGCTATGAATAGCCCCCCCCCAGTAGGGCGTGTTATACACAGACCCCAGTGGGGCGCGGGTTAAACTACAGTTTATCGCATTAGCCCAGAGGTATAATTGATAGGGAATGTGTAATTGACATCATTATTGCATGATATTTTCCGCGTAAAATTAGAAAACTACTGCTTATTAAGGGTTTTGAAATGCTTAGTATTGGTTACAAAGCCGAAATTATGGCAAGATATGCTCCTATTAACCCGCGCCCGGCTGGGGGTCCTGGATTTCCACGCCCTGCTGGGGGGGGGGGTGTTTGAACACCCCCCCTTGTAACTCGGCTCCTGGGCCACGTAGCGATACGCGGAAGGCGGCGTTCGAAAGAGCGTCAAAAATAATGACGAAATCACTTCGGTCAATTTTTTGGTCAGGTCAAAGGTCAGGTCACCAGAGGTCATTGAAGGCAAAATTTCGCCGATTTCCAGGTCGAATGTCGAAAATTTCCAAGAAGCCAACGCATAACTCGGGAACTAATAGAGCTACAGCGCCGCGGAAAAGCGCATTCGATAGCCCTATTGACGCCCTTTCTGAGTAATTCTCTCAGATTTGACCTAACGTCAACGGTTTTGCCTGCAGGGGGCAAAAACTGCAAAAATAGCCGATTTTTTCGGAAACAGTTTTTCTGCAATAACTTTTGACCCAAGCCCTGTACGAGCTTACTTTTACCGGCATCGTGTTCCTCTTGTCAAGACGCATCGAATGAACTATAACTTGACCTTGAAAGGTCAACTTGAAAATTTGACCTCAGGTCAAGGTCATGACCTGACCGGAAAGGGTCATGTTGCATATCAGTCGATCCGTATCGTCGAGCTGAACACATCTAAGGCGTTTTCATCGCTCTAGCATGCCTCTATCAAAAGTTATTTGCGAAAAACTGTTAGATACCATTCGTGACCTAAGATGACCTCAGGGCATAAACAAGGGTCAAGGACACCATTTTCATGTTCAGTGTGTCTAAACCACTTGTAATTCGGTGTTTGGAAGTGTTTATAATGTCTTTCGTCCAAAAGAGGCGCATTTCAATTTTCTCCCATTGACTTATAATGGGGAGGTCGCAAAATTGACCTGACCTTAGGTCATCGATATCAAAATTCTGAGATATACATTTTGTACATGCTATTGCTCTTAGCAATCGCTGAAAGTTTCAAAGCGATCGGTCATTCGGTGTAGCTATGACAGACATTGAAACTTTTTATGAGGTGAGGTCACTTCAAGTGACCTGGTGACCTGACCTTGAATGACCTTGGTCTGAAATTTTCACAACATGTGTAGAATTGATGTATGATAAGGTGTACCAAAAACGGCGGCGCTCCGCGCCGCCGTTTTTGAGATATTCGCGAAAAACCACAAGGGGGGGTGTTCAAACACCCCCCCCAGCAGGGCGCGGGTTAATCGAAATCCGTTATCGCTTGTTTCTTATCTTCGTTTGATATGTCCACTGATACCTTGGGCCTAAGTTATTGCGTTATTATTTGACAGTTGTAGTCCTTTCCTCGAAACAAACATGTAAAATATGGAAAATATAATGTATTTCACGAAAGTTTAGCCATTATAGGTCATCAACAAAGTACGATTACATAAATAAAGAAAAGATTCTTGCAAGGGCACTGGAAAATTCACGTTTAATCACTAGGAATATTACACCTTCTACCTTCTTCTTGTTCTTATGTCGTGGCAAATTATTCATGCATGATGTTCCTTGGATATCCAATTGTTGTGCCATTCTGAGTTGATATTTTCAGACACGATTCTTTTTGAAGTGAGGTATTTTGATGCATTTTATTCTATAAATTTCCTTTAAAGCTTTATCCACAGCAGTAGCGCAATCACTGTTCGGAAATTATGGACAAAACAATTATATAAAAGTGTCACTAAAACCTGTCGAAACTACTTAGCATGTATGCGGCATGTAGGAAAAAGCTTACTGACCTCAGCCGTACGAAATTATTTGGAAACTCGGTTTGCAAAATTTGACTCCGGCCCTCGTGCTTCGCACTCGGGCCTACGTCAATTTTGCAAACCTCGTTTCCAAATAATTTCGTCGGCCCGGTCAGTAATATATATTCCGTGCGAAAATATTAGAAGAATTCACGACAGGGCGGACCTTAGCAGATAACACATGACATTATTTGTGTTACCGATGAAGTGTAGTTTTCAACCCATCATTTAAATGAAGTAACATATCTAAGAGTAAAAAATCAATCTTATGGCGCTGAACATCAAAGCGCAGTGGCGAGTCCCAACTCCCACCCTCCATTGTATGTGAACATCACATTGGAGCTTGATTAGTGCAGTGTGGAGAGCTGAGGGATACTGATTTGTAATAAAAGTAACCGAGAGACGGCAGCGGCCAGTCGCAACTCGGAAGACACAGACAGGAAAACAATCAGCGTGATGTGACAGCCCTAGCAACAAAATCTTCGGTCTATTCGACATCGCACCCTGAAAATGTATGTCATTGCCGCGCTGGCTGCGTCTACTGTAACGAAAGTGGCAGCTGTGGGCCTGACAGCGGCGGTGGATACGGCTATTTATACACACTGTGGATACGGCAACGGCAGCGGATCCACAGCAGCGATGGAATCGGCGGCAGCGGGCAGGAGCTGGCCATACACGGCAATGGCAGACACAATACCGCCGGTGAGCACGCTTGGCCGTCTCGCTGCTGCTGTGTCTGTTACACGCGAAGACGGTGGACTGCTGCATCCCATCGGTTATGATCGCCGAGTCACTGAAGAGAGGTGGCGAGTTGCGGAGAGAATAATCCGTGTAATCTGGGAGGCACATTCCGCCCTATCAATCCTTAGGACTAACCGGCGATCCATTCTCGTCTTTGAGCA